CGACCCTGGGATTCTACTGTGACAACGGTTGGGCACCAAGGATGGGCTGGGTCGGCAGCCGGGTTTGAGACCGTCCTGCACTGCTTCCAGGCAGAGTAGCAAAGTACCTAAACATTCAATCTGCAAACGGGCTTGTTAAACGTCACCTAAGATAACCGTGTGAGGCATTTAGCATAGCGCTGGCAAAACTAACAATATCTGTGATGCTCATCGTCTTGTTTTTGGTCACCGATATCCAGGAGCAGGAAGGCTAGTGTTCCTCTTTATTCCCGAAATGCCCAGCAAAGAGCTAGATGCTTTGTCTGGATGCGTAGCGATACCGCCAGGCTGAGCATTAAACGTGGCTCTTATTGAAACCGGTGTTCTTGCCACTGTCCCCTGCTCTTGCAGACCTCACAGCGACCGTAGCCACGTTGTTGCAGCCCAGGCTGCGTGGCGAGCATATGCAAGCGACAGCGCTTCTAAGCATCCTCTCCCCTCTTGCGTGCCGCGCCTTGCTTGCACCAAGAACCAAGCCGACAGCCAACCAAAGCGTGGATTTTATCTCCAAGTGCGACGCACTCTCTCCTGGAAGGATCGCCGCTCGACCGGGCTGAGCTAGGATGCTCCTCGTCACTTCATGGACCCCGCTAGCCAACGAGATCTACGTCTACTTGCCCAACAACACGCATAAACAAAGCAGCCGGACCGACAACAGGACCCCGCGACGCCCAAGCCTTTTGATCCTCGTGTGTGTCGGCCGAAGACTCAGGAGTCTCATGGCTCTGACGAAGATGCGGTTTTTCGTTTGGAACTTCTTTTTAAAAAGCAACAATATGCATTCAAAACGAGGTATGGGAAATTAAGGGAGAGGAAACAGACTAGCAGTCCGGGACGGCCGAGAGAGGAAAAGAGTTGAGTTGTTTATAGGCAACGCCAGTCAGCCTCGTGGTGACGGATCGACAGGCTATGGGCAATGAACTTACACCTGTGCTGCATCTGCACAGTCAAACACAACACACACACACAACACAAACACACAAGACAACAATGGTGATGTAAACTGCTAAGATCGACAAGATCAGTGGTTGTCAATACCAGCATTCGGTTGCGACGTGGACTATTGTTTTGCAGATGTTACCCTGCAAAGGAAATGACACGGTTCTCTCCTTATTATTCTTACAATAAGCACGGACTCTACCAATTATCTAAAATAACGAGTTTCATTTAAAATCTGGGTACCAGTAAAACAAAAAAATTAGGCAAAATAGGTACCAAGCCAGAGAGCATGCTAATGAGAAGCTGGGACGGATCAACGTCAACTTCACTGGCTGCTCGGCTAATCATCTGACGGAAGCGGGAAAAACAGATACCGCAGGTGTGACGCGTTTCCAGACCACAGGCAGGCAGACGCATTTCCGGGCTCTGCTTGGGCCCAGTGAGGCCCGGCTGGAATCACACGTGACTAACTGCGAGCGCGCGACCACTCACCCACGGCAGAGGACCGGCTCGGCGCGATCACTCACGCCCGCAAGGGGACCTCCGGGGACCACTCACCCGACTGCAGAGGGACCGGCTCGGCGAGAGCCGACTCACCAATACGCAGAGTGAGGCTCCGGCGTGGCACTCCACGCGGAGGACGCCTCGGCGTGACCACCACCACGCAGAGGGGACGGCTCCGCGTACCACTCACTCCACGCAGAGGATACGCTCGCTGAGCACTCACCACGCGGAGTGGACGCTCGCGTGAGCCACTCAACACTGTAGAGGGACGTCGCGTGGGCCCACTCACCACGTAGGGACGGCTCGGTGAGCCACTCACCCACCGCAAGGGTAGCTCGGCGTGAGCCACCACCCACGTACGGGACGGCTCCGCGAGAGCCACTCCACGCAGAGGGACGGCTCCCGCGAGCCACGTCACCCACGTAGAGGTACGGCTCGCGAACCACTCCCACGTAGAGGGGACGCTCCGGCGGGCACATCACACGTAGAGGGCACGCTCGCGAAGCCACTCAACCACTACGTAGAGGGGAACCGCCTCGCGAGAGCCCACTCACCCAAGTAGAGGGACGCTTCCGCGGCCACTCATGCCCACGTAGAGGGAGGCTCGGCGGCACCTCCCCGCAGAGGGGACGGCTTCGCGAGCCCACCCACGTAGAGGACTGCTCGCGGGCCACTCAACCCCACGTAAGGGACGCCTCGCGTAGCTATCACCCAGTAAGGGACGGCTCAGGCGTGGCCAATCCACCACAGAGAGGAACGGCTTCCGCGACACTCACCAGTAGAGGGACCTCTGCGTGCCACCACCCACGTAGAGGGACTGCTCGGCGAGCCACTCCAACCCCACGTAGAAGGGACGCTCCGGCGGCCACTCACCCCGTAGAGGGGACGGCTCCGCGAGCCACTCACCACGTAGAGGGACCTCCGCGTGGCCCTCACCCACGTAAGGGACGCTTCGGCGAGCCACTCCCCAACGTAGGGGACGGCTCGCGGGCCATCACGCCATGCAGTGGACGGCTCCGCGAGCAGCTCACCGTAGAGGAGACGGCTTCCGCGGGCACTGCCGCACGCAGAGGACGCTCCGCCGGAGCGCACTTCAGCCCACGTAGAGGACGGCTCCGGCGACACTCCGCACGGCAGGAGAGGACGGCTCGCGCGGCCACTCAGCCAGTAGAGGGACGGCTCCGGCGGGCCACTCCACCACGTAAGGGGACGGCTCGCGCGTAAAGCATCACCACATAGAGGGACGGCTCTGGCGTGAGCACTCACCCACTGTAGAGGGATCGGCTCTCGCGGCAATCACCACATACAGAGGGGACGGCTCCGGCGTGAGCCACTCACCCACGCAGAGGGGACGGCTCCGGCGTGAGCCACTCACCCACGTAGAGAGGACGGCTCCGGCGTGAGCCACTCACCCACGTGGAGGGGACGGCTCCGGCGTGAGCCACGCACCCACGTAGCGGGGACGGCTCCGGCGTGAGCCACTCACCCACGCAGAGGGGACGGCTCCGGCGTGAGCCACTCACCCACGTAGAGGGGACGGCTCCGGCGGGCCACTCACCCACGTAGAGGGGACGGCTCCGGCGGGCCACTCACCCACGTAGAGGGGACGGCTCCGGCGTGAGCCACACACCCACGTAGAGGGGACGGCTCCGGCGTGAGCCACTCACCCACGTAGAGGGGACGGCTCCAGCGGCTCCAGGTCCCCGCCGCTCTGCACGTGGCGCTCACGGCCGCCCTCACTTGAACGCAGTACTTGGAGGCGTCGTCAACGATTGAGACGAATGCCCTGGTCGTCACTTTCTCTGTCTATGTGGGGAAAGAACGGCATTATGGGAATCCCTAGACACACATTTTAAGTTCTGCCAGTTATCCGAGCGAGAGACGCTATGTGGGTGATGTGACTCACTGTGCAGCACGCAACTTCAAATCAACAGGGCACACACTGATTGTTCTAGACTGCTTCAGTGTGGATGTGTTGGCAGTCACCTTTGGGGGCGGGGGCGGGGCGAAGCTATCTTTTTTTTTTTTTTTTTTTTTTTTTTTAGACAGAGTCTCACTTTGTTGCCCAGGCTAGACTGAGTGCCGTGGCATCAGCCTCGCTCACAGCAACCTCAGACTCCTGAGCTCAAGCCATCCTCCTGCCTCAGCCTCCCGAGTAGCTGGGACTACAGGCACAGAGGCCACTGTGCCCGGCTCATTTTTTCTATATTTTTAGTTGTTTGGCTAATTTCTTTCTATTTATAGTTAGAGACGGGGTCTCGTTCTTGCTCAGGCTGGTCTTGAACTCCTAAGTTCAAGCGATCCTCCCGCCTCGGCCTCCCAGAGCGCCAGGATTACAGGCGTGAGCCACCGCGCCCGGCCTGGGAAGCTATCTTATAATCAAAATATATAAAATCGTCAGTTGAAGATGTAGATGATTCAATCCAGGCCCAACTGGTGTTTCCAGATTGAAAGACTGGAGTAGCCTGTACTAGAATAACTAGAATACGTAATCGCTGTCCCTCTCCCTCCATATCCTGGTAGTCTTGTCGCTAGACAACACCCCACGATTTCCATCGTATTCTGCAGACATCAGCAAACAGGCAGCCTGCTGTCTGTTTCTGTGTGGCCTGGAAGCTAAGAATGATCTATATATTTTTAAATGGTTGAAAAGAATCAAATGAATAAATAATACGATACATGAATATTACATGAAATGGACATTTCCGGGTCCACAAATAAAGTTTCACTGCAACTCAGCCACACCCATTTGTGTGTGTATTGTCATTGTCTGCTTTTGTTCTGCGATGGCAGAGCTGAGTAACTGCGACAGGAACCGTGTGGCCTGCAAAACGTAAAATATTTAGTATCTGGCTTTTTAGGAAGAAAGTCTGCAGATCCTTAATATATATAAGAACGTCTCAAACAGCCGGAGCCAGGGGCTTGGAGGAGGGTGGGGGGCAGGGAGGGGCCGCATAGAGAAGCAGAAAGAGCAGCGACCTTGAGTCTATAGCACGGGCCAGGCTTCGAGTGCTAGCTCTACCTCCAGCTACCTGCAGGGCAAGTGCCTTGGCCTCTCCACGCCTCTTGTTTACTCGTCTGTAAAATGGGGATAATGATATCTACGTTATGGATTATTGAGTTCAATGGAATTAGCTTTGTAAAGCCCAAGCTTAAGAAGATATCAGGTTTCGCTATATGAGAATTATCAACGTTCAACCCATTTTTTGAGTTGTAAAAAAGGTCAGTTTGGGATGGGTCAGTCTCATCATACGTGGTCACTAAGTGCTGGTTCGCTGCAGGCAACTTAGACTGACATGAGATTGACTAGTGTTGAAATGAAGCCGTTTGTCTCACACATAAGCCCTTCTTTTTTTTCCTTCTACTGGGCAGTGTCGTTACTGTCCAGCTCGTCCCTTGTGCGACAGATGTCTCTGTGACACCTGCCTCTTACCTACCCCCTGGATGTGTCTCTGTCCCTCACACTTGCCCCATGATCATCGCCTACGTTAGCTCTTGTTACCTTTTGCCTGGACTTGTGCAGTAGCTACTACCTGATATCCCTATGTCCTCGTGCTACCCCCCTCCCCATCCAGCTTGTCCACTGCTACTAAAACTACTCTTTAACTCTGCAGATGTGGGCATAATTCTCTACCATGTAAAACTCTTCAGTGGTTTCCATTGCCCATGGCCACGGCTTTAAAAAGAGAACCCATCTCTTTCTTTTTTTTCTTTTTTTTTTTTTTTTTGAGACAGAGTCTCACTTTGTTGCCCAGGCTAGAGTGAGTGCCGTGGCGTCAGCCTCCACCATGCCCGGCTAATTTTTCTATACATATATATATATTAGTTGGCCAATTAATTTCTTTCTATTTATATTAGAGACAGGGGTCTCACTCTTGCTCAGGCTGGTTTCAAACTCCTGACCTTGAGCAATCCGCCCGCCTCGGCCTCCTAGAGTGCTAGGATGACAGGCGTGAGCCACCGCGCCCGGCCAAGAGAAGCCATTCCTTAACAAAATGTTACAGAGCCACTCTGGGAGAAGTCTCAGGGTAGGGGGTGCAGTTGCGATTCCAATGTTGGCCTGAATTACCTGCCACTTGGCTGGGGGAACCCTGCTCTCTCGAGCCTTTGAGTTCCTCCTTTTCCTAGACTGGTGCAGGTCAGGAACTGTTCATTACTGATGTACAACTCGAGGTGAATACAGAAATTGAGACTGTAATTTAGGAGCTTTGATAGTAATTTGGCATTGCCACGACATCCGAGCACATGATCAGTGGGCTTGTATTTTACACGTCTTTGGCGATGTTTGATTTCTCTAGCGAATCATTTTTATCGTGTTTGGCAAAAGCACCAATCTATGGTGGATTAGAAATTTAAAAAAAAATAGTCCTTCCCCGTAGGCATTTTTGGAGGCACTGGCTTGGAAATTCTTTCTCTTTTTGTCTCATCAGGCAAGCTTGTCTTCCTCCTTGTGGGTGCCACTACATTCCTTTCTCTGCGGGTCACTGTGCCCACGTCCCCCTCCCTCACTTCTCTGGCTTTCACTGTAGCAGGGCCAGTCTGAGGCTGGGCGAGTGTGACTAAGCCCCTGAATGGCAGAAACGGTCTTATTCAACCTCGAGTGTCTCCCCCAAAGAAGCCAATTTGTAAATATTTGTTGGATCAAACTGAATGGCATTTGCTTTGTCTCCTATCAGTGAAACATAACTTTGAATCCCAGCTTCCCTATTTTTTTTTCCCCTAGCTTTGTGACTTGGGGCGAGTTATCTTCATCTCTTTTGCCTCATGTTCCCATAGAATGGGAACGGTAATTGCATATTAGATTTATTGTTAGTATGGCATTAACTAACATAATAAAGCTTGACACATAATTCATGCTCAGCAAATGTCGACTCTCTTCTCAGTTTCTTTTCCGTGGAACCTTTTGCTAATACGTTTAACAGAAACTTAGTGCTAGTAAGTTGTGGTTTTTTTAATTGTGGTAAAATACATATAACAAAATTCTACCATTTTAACCAACTTTTATATGTACAGTTTAGTCGTGTTAAGCACATTCACATTGTCATGCAAGCAGTGTTCAACACTCTTTTCATCTTGCAAAACTGAAATTCTGCACCCATTAAACAATAGCTCCTCATTCTTCCCTCCACGCCCCGGTTCCTGGCAACAGCCATTCTACTGTCTGTTTCTATGCATTTGACTACCCACCCTCAAAAAAGTGGAATCAGACAGTATTTGTCTTTTTGTAACTAGCTCATGTCATGTAATATCCTCAAGGTACCTCCAAGTTGTAGCATGTGCCAGAATTTCCTTCCTTTTAAGGGCTGAATAATATTTCAGTGTATGTATATGCTATCTTTTGTTTATCCACTCACCCGTACATGAGCACTGGGGTTGCTTCCAGGTTTTGGCTATTGTGAATAATGCTGCTATGAACATGGGTATGCAAACGTCTCTTTGAGTCCCTGCTCTCAATCATATATATTATATATATATATAATATATCCAGAAGTAGAATGATAATTATATTTGTAATTTTATGGGAACTTGTCAAAATGCTTTTCAAGGCAGCTGCACCATTTTAAAATTGTAACCAACACCAGTACCAATGAGGTTTTATCTGATCCTCTGTATTAATTTCAACCCAAAGTATGTCCTTCCAAAACAAAAGGCCAGTAAGATTTGGTTTATTTCCATAATGCCTGGGTAGCTGTTAGTTAACTTTGACCTCATTAATACCAAGATGGAACTTGGTTACAGTCACTGAAAATATATATATATATATATATATTTTTTTTTTAAGACAGAGTCTCACTTTGTTGCCTGGGCTAGAGTGAGTGCCGTGGCGTCAGCCTAGCTCACAGCAACCTCAAACTCCTGGACTCAAGCAATCCTCCTGCCTCAGCCTCCGGAGTAGCTGAGACTACAGGCATGCGCCACCATGCCCCGCTAATTTTTTGTATCTATTTTTAGTTGGCCAATTAATTTCTTTCTATTTATAGTAGAGACGAGGTCTCGCTCTTGCTCAGGCTGGTTTCAAACTCCTGACCTCAAGCAATCCGCCCGCCTCGGACTCCCAGAGTGCTAGGATTACAGGTGTGAGCCACCGCGCCCAGCTGAAAATAATTTTTAAATGCTTCTCAAAGGAACGTCTATCATCAAATAACAGAATGACGCAAAGAATTACCTGAAAATAACCCTTCCTTATGTTGTATATTTTCACTTCGTAATCAAAGCAGTGGGTTGGGAAGGCAGAAACTGGTTTCTCCCACTGGATGGAGAGATGGGTTCCTTCAATCTCAGCCGTGACGTTCAGTGGAGGATTTACTTGGTCTAGGTTAGAGAGAGAATGAGAGATCAGTGATATTTCTTTAGAATCAGTGATCGGGGCCGATAAGTGCAATCCACACACACTTCTCAAGGCTTTTCTGAGATATGCTTTTCTCAAGTATTTACCATCGGGTCTTAATCAACTGATCTCCAAGCCACAGGAAGCCGGTGGCCTCCCACAAGACGAGTGCTTTGTAGAGCTGAAGAAGAGACCCCTCCTGTGACCTCCAAGACTTACTCCCAGTGGAGTAGAATGGCTGAACCCCTGCCCTGTGAGCTCACTACAAGACTTACCCAACACCAACCCTTCTAACTTCCCAAGTTGAACCAAGTCCACGATAAACTTGGCCATGGAGAACACTTTGCCCCGGAGCGCCCTCGCGCCCACCAAGTCCTGCCTCCACCTGCTGGCAGGTGTGTGGCCCTGGGCAAATCACTTCCCCTTTCTGGGCTTCAGTTTTTGTCTCATTTTGATGAGCGTGTCTTGTTTTGTTTTGGGGATAGAGCCGGAAGCTTCAGTTTGCTTTTGCGTAAAAAGAATGGATTGGGCAACATTTGCCTTATGAATCTAAAGTTCTTCCCCCCTGAGATCTCACTTGATTGTGTCACGGCCCTGGGAGGTAAGCAGAAATTATTGCCAAGCGAGTGTCCTCATCTTGGTTGTCTGATTTGGATCTCACAGTTAACGGATCATAGGAACGAGCTAAGAATGGGGTCCCCGCTGGCTTCAGAGCCTGCCATGCCCTAAGCCGGAAATTCTTAATGGAGAAAGTCCTCCTTTCTTTTAGGAATCCCAGGAATTGTCCTCGATAAACTATAAATCATGAAAGAAAATGAATCCTGTAGGCTGTAGCAGACTACATCCATGTTCATATTAATATCCTTGCGTCTCAAGTCTTCCTGGGCATCTCCTGCTGCCCATTTCCACAAAAGTGGCATTTTTAGGTCAACTATGAAATAGACTATTGAAGGGAATTGCATAATCTCTTTAGCAAGGGCTATAATTCTTTGAACAAAGTTATACTCCCCTTGATAGCAATGTGACAGCTGAATCATGCCCTTTGGATAGTATTTTAGGGTATTTATTCAACACTTATGCCAGGCACGGTTCTAAGCACTTCATATAAGTACCGCATGCTGACCAATTGCGCAACTGGAGCTCTCTAAGCGCTTTGTAATAATAGTAACACACATCTCACGAAAACCTCACAGGAAGTGTTCATTTCTCTCTGTTTTCCAGATAAGATGAGGTGCAGAGGAGTGGCCAGCTGGCCTGCGGTCCCTGTGTGAGTCGGTGGGGACATCCGGGACCCACATCCAGGCAGCCTGACCCGCCACCCCCCTAGTAACCACCCACCACTGAGTCTCGAACATTGGTATCAAGAATGCTACCTGACAGCCTCCGGATGGCTTTCATTAGCAGACTTTTTTAGGAGGAAGACAAGTATCTTCCGTATGGGAAGGTGAGACCTTGAGTGACATGTTTGGAGCTCAGAGTCCCAGCCCAAGAGAGAGACTCGGGAGTGTCCAGAGGAGAGGGGCCGGGAGGGTGGCAGGTCGTGGGGGGCTGACGTGAGGAATGCACCACCTGGGGAAGAAGGGCCCCAGGGTGGGAGACGCGGCTGCCTTTGAGCAGCCGAGGGGCCATGCAGTGGGGAAAGGGTAGAGTCATTCAGAGGGACCAGTCCCTCACAGGACCCAGGGGCAGACACTTCACAGACCCGTCAGAACTGATGAAAGAATAAACAGGCTCCTCCCTCAAGCAGTGCGTGCTCTTTTCCTGGTGCAGTGATTCTCAGTGAAGGGAAAGTTTACCCCCCAAGGGATGTTTGGCAACGTCCAAGGCAATGTTTTGTCACAAGTTTGGGAGGGGCAGGGAAGATGCTGCTGACATCTGGCAGGTAGAGGCCACAGATGCTGCTGGACATCCTACAGTGCCCAGGACAGACCCTCGTAACACAGAGTTTCCAGGGTGTTCCAGCCCAAAATATCAACATCAGTAGTGCTGCAAGTCTTGCCCCAGCGGTTTTCAAACATGGGACAGATGAAAACACAGCATCAGAAAAGCAGTCAAGGCTGGGTGCGGTGGCTCACGCCTGTAATCCTAGCACTCTGGGAGGCCGAGGCGGGCGGATTGCTCGAGGTCAGGAGTTAGAAACCGGCCTGAGCAGGAGCGAGACCCGTGTCTCTACTATAAGTAGAAAGAAATTAATTGGCCAACTAATATATATTGGAAAAATTAGTTGGGCATGGTGGCACATGCCTGTAGTCCCAGCTACTCGGAGGCTGAGGCAGGAGGATCGCTTGAGCCCAGGAGTTTGAAGTTGCTGTGAGTTAGGCTGACGCCACGGCACTCACTCTAGCCTGGGCGACAAAGTGAGACTCTGTCTCAAAAAAAAAAAAAAAAGAAAAGAAAAGAAAAGCAGTCAAATGAGGTGACTTTTTTTTTTCTTGAGACAGTCTCACTTTATCACCCAGGCTAGAGTGAGTGCCGTGGCGTCAGCCTAGCTCATAGCAACCTCAAACTCCTGGGCTCAAGCCATCCTCCTGCCTCAGCCTCCTGGGTAGCTGAGCACCACCACACCTGGATGATTTTTTTGTTTTGTTTTGTTTCTATTTTTAGTTGCCTGGCTAAGTTTTTCTGTTTTTTAGTAGAGATGGGGGTCTCGCTCTTGCTCAGGCTGGTCTCGAACTGCTGACCTGAAGTGATCCTCCCATCTCAGCCCCCCAGAGCGCCAAGATTATAGGCATGAGCCACTGCCTCGCCCGGCCCAAGGTGATCTTTATCATCCCTTCCAGCGCCGAGATTCTGCCACCCCGTCAGCGTGGCTTTGGGTCAGATCTGTCTTACCAATGGCGTGAAGAGCGAAGAGCTGATCAAAGGGCTCGATCGCGGCGTGCTTGCTTGAGCCATTCACGTGGACCGCAAGCCAGTCTCGCCCTTTGCCCTGGATAAAAGTCCTTGGAAACCAGCACGCGATGTTTCTCTTCAGTGCGTCCTTGCTGTATTCTTGGCATTCTTCGGTCCGAGAGCCATACCTACATTGGAACACTCATGGGTTTTATAAAGCTGGAGGAAACAACCCATTTGCATGAGGAAAAATAGGTGTGGTACTAACCTGTAATAGAGAAAATACTGCGTGTCCTCAGGGGCGTCCTGGCCAACGAGCCAGGTGCAGCGAAGAGACACTTGGTACGGCCACAAGCTCGAGCCGTTGTCGGCTGCCGTGTTCGTGGTACAAGTCAAATTCACAACGGAGGTTCCAGGGGACCCTAGGTGGTCAAAAATAAAAAGAACAAAACATTGTCAACGACGCCTTCTGAATTTTGTACTTCTCTGGGGACCACAGTGATTGTGACCGTCTCACCCACTACCGAAAAGTAATCATCATCACGTGTTTATAGAAACCTACTGTTTGCAGAAGGCCAACTTACTGGATGGAGGGTGAAACTAAGCCTTACAAAGCCCCAATTTCTGACATTGAAGAACTTTCTAGCTACTTTGGTGGGAGGTGCGGAGGGTTGTGTTTGTGAGATACCATGCGTGAAAATTCAAGAGGTTGGTGTCCAGCAAAACGCCACCGGGAACTAGCTGTGACACCTTCGCCCCTAGTACTTCTGGGCCTCTGTGTTTCCAACTGTTCAAGAGAGGGCTGGACAAGGAAGGTCTCCAGGGCCCCTGTCAATCCTGGAATTGTATGACTGGTTCCATTGTATCCAGATGCTTCCTGAGTGAAAATAGATGGCTGCCCCCCCCCAAAGGAAATGAGTATTATTTTGCAATGTTGCAAAATAATATCGCTACTTTAGAGACTCGATGCACATTAGCATGTTAAAGTCCTCTTTAATATACCAGGACTTCAAAGGAGATGTTGAGATTTTAATGCAACCTCTTTATGTTTGTTTCGCCCGAGATTTGCCAAAATTACGGGATTGGAACGGCTCATTTTCATTCCAATCCTCTTGTTATGATGTTAACTGTTGCTCTTCAGAACTCAGTGTGGGAAACACTGGGCCTGTTTGTGATTGCTAAGAGAAAGCAAAAAGCACCTTGGGATGGGGGTCAGGGAGTCAGCCAAAGTGGGAGCCTCCAAAGATAGAAGGGGCTTTTTGGCTCAGTTTAAGTCACCTGCAGCTCATGCGTATCACTGTCAGCCAGTGTCTTTCAGGGGTAGAGGGAAAAGGTGATGGGAGCGAGTCTCCTATTATCCGTGGAGAATTTAAAGACAGAAAGAAGACTGAGTAAAGCCAGTTTGTTTTGAGATAGAGAGATAGATGATATAAATATTATTTATGTATATATGTCCATGTACTGCATGACCAGATAGATAGTCCATGGCCAAGTCCAGTTTAGAGTTTCCAAAGTCTGCTCATCTTACAGTTCCCACCCGAGGAATTATTTGGTGTGAATTCCATTTGCTTCAAGGCAGAAATAATTAAATTTTTATTAGGATCAATTTGTGCTGGAGCACTCAGAGAATAATGGAACTACAGGAACATAAGCTGAAAAGTGCTTCATGGGTAAAATCGTTACTCACTATAGACAGGTGGAATAGTGGTTTAACGTAAGGCACATATGAGGACCCGTATTTATGATCTTGTGACTACCTTGGATTAGTCTCTGTTACTTGAGATCATGCCCTTCTGAATTGGCTGGTACAGAACAAGTCGTAACGAGTAAGTGGGAAGATCTTTATGGTACCGTTTGAAGTCCCCAGTGCAATCCGGGAGGCATGATCTTTCCATCCAGTGATGTGACAAGAGGAAAATTTGAAAATTGCTCATGGCCGGGTTGACCAACACCATTGTTAATCAGGATCACTCACGTATCTCAGGATCTGGTGGCTTCTCCTGTGTTCTTTCTTTCCCCTCGTATGTGTGTGTGTGTGTGTGTGTGTGTGTGTGTGTGTGTGTGTTCAAGTGTTTCATCAGAAGTATCACTGGTTCTAAGTAGCAGGAGCACCAACTTTCCACTGGAGGCCAACACAGAGATAGTGGAGTCTGCAGGAACGTGCCAGATGGAATCGGATGGGTTAGGATGACAAGGACTAATAGCAGCCCGGGGTGGGACGTCGATGATATGGCAGAGGGCTTAGTAGGAACTGGCGACTGGCTGAAGACAAAACTAGTTATTGCTAGTTTTTCTACATTCCCATATTGGCAAAGTCTAAAACATAAAACAGGGTGCTTGAGGCCTGCGTTTACCCGGTGGTGCTTTGAGCTCAGCAGAAACCCAGCTGCTGGCGAGGAGCGAGGGGCCGTGCCACAGGATGGTCTGCACGCTCGCCGAGAAGCCTCTGTGGAGGATGGTGACACATTTGCTTTCGGTGTTTCTGGTTTCATACTAAAAATAAAACCCACAAGTCATGACACACAACAGAGAAATACCCTTAAGGGAGCTATTCTAACCAAATGTGCATTTTCTTCCACTTTGCAAATGACACATAAAGGAAATGCAATGCAATAGTTTTTTGCCAGAAAAAAAATTAAAAACAAAACCATCGAAATAATAATATGATTCCTCAATGATACATGAACACATTCCTCTTATAAAAACAAACACGATATTGCAAGTATCCCTTTTACCACCATCTGTAGTTCCAGCCACCTCCATAGAGGTGAATGTTTTGACAGAAAACTCCCTAGAATTCCACACTGATTGAAAAATCATTATTACAAATCACTTCTGCCTTTGTTTGACTTTATTGGACACCTGATATTCAGCAGGTGCTTTTAGCTTGGTTTCTATAACTGTATCCCCTGCCTGCCTCTTCCCATTTGACTAGGCTACTGTCTTCTGTTTTGTTGGCCATTTTAGAGGAAACAGAACACCCATATCTAATTCGTTGTGCCTAAACATTCTTTCTTTTTTTTTTTTTTAGGAGAAACCACTTTTAATTGAAAAATAAAACAATGCATTTCAAATAAGACTCTATTTAACAACATAAACTGTAATTTGCAGAGAGAAATAGCTTTCCTAAGTGGTATTGTGAAATTTAGGTATCAGAGTATCAGTAGAGTTTCCAACCTTTATCCTGACTTAGCTATAAGCAATATTATAAATAAGAACTTTTTCCCATAAATTTAATTTCCATAAATTAAATCTCTATAGTCTAGCCCTATCCCCAATGGACTGACAAAAGGAGAGATTTTAAATAATCATTTCTATAATGAGGAGTTCCCAGATAAAAGCAAATAATTTTCCTTATAAAAAAGCTTATATGTGAGACGCACAAAACTTAGCATTTAACTCGATTTCCACAAAACTTCAAAGCACAATGAAAATAGTCTATGCACAGCACGAGTTTACAGCCATTGCTGCAGAGACACTACTGACAACATAACATCAAACCCTTTAGTAGTTTCCTTTCTTCTTCTTTTTTTAACTTAAAATTTCATTTGATAAAACACAGTCAAAATCCATATTTACTCGAAATAAGGATTGCCATGGGAATAAACACTTACATCATCATCCTGTGGGGCATTTATTTTCACGTGATACTCTAGATTAACGTTTCTTGGCTTTTGATCAGGATTCGGTTCCCAATGTAAAAGAACTTGAGCCAAACCAGTAACTTTGATGGTGAAATTGACAGGTGGAAGAAGTAAAACTGTTGGTTGAAAGAACAGAGAAGTGAGGCAATGTTCAAATACATGCACAACACTTTTAATTTTTTTTAAAAAATATTCTATTATGTAGCATACTATTTTATTATGGCTCTTAGTATGCCTCATCCTGAAACAATTTTGAAAGATATTTCTTTAAAATCGTTTTTAAATCATTGTCCCTTTTACCTTGCCCAGGTATTTACCTCTAACATCTACATGATTTTTTATCGAAATATGAACATTTTACTACATCATTATTTGCTATAGCCATCGTTTTCAAACTGAGAGTTATTATGCATTAATGATCTGTGACAACAATTTATTAGTTTGTGGCCAGTAATTTTTTTTTAACGCTATGGAAGAAAAATAGAATAGAAAATACCAGGGTGCATCAAACATAAGAAGAATGACAGCTGGTTGATGAATCTTTTGTTTCTCTTAAATGAAGGTGCTTACCTATGGGTATGTGTGCTAGTTCATCCTGTAAAGTGTATTTGCCTCTCATTGTGAGTCACAGTCAAGAATATTTGTGAGCAAAATTTCTTAAATAGGCATTTATAGAAAGAACAGCCTTTGTCTTCCCTTCATGACTCACTGTCTGACTTGGCTTTCAAAAGAAAAGCCTTCGTTTAATTACAAACTCAAGACCTGTTCATTGTATCAGTTTTGGAAAGCACAGATGAGCAAAAAGAGGAAAATAAAAACATCCCACAATCCTACTACCAAGAATGGCATTAACAAATGATATATTCACTATACTTTTGGGGGGGGCATATATTTATAAAACTCTTTAATTTTTTTTTTACTAAAATTAGGACAATATTGTGAATATAATTACAAAAACCTTCTTTTATTTACATACTGAGTTGTCAGGACTTTTCCATCGCACAACCTTCCACAGCTCTGTATCCACACTTAGCTCTATACGGTTTTCTAGGGCTCTGTCTGCATGTCATTGTCCACTATGAGAGCCACTTGTGGCTGTTCAAATTTAAATTACCTCGAATAAGATCAAATGCTCATTACTTTAGGTGCACTATCCACATTTCAGTGCTCCATGGTCACATTTGGCTGGTGGCTATTATATTGGGCAGTACAGAGTTAGAACCTCGCCATTAGCATAGAAAGTTCTATTAGACAAGGCTACATTAGGACCATGTCACGGTTTTCCTTTCTTGAATTCTGTCACCACACCATGCCATAGATGCAACATGCATCAGAACAAAACGTAGTGGGAGTTTCTTAATGTTTGGTTGTGAGGCTTTCTAACTATTTATTCCCTTGCAAGAGAAGACATTGCAAACGTGGTCACCGGCACCAGATTTAGTCCACAGTGTCTGTCTGTCCACACTTGGAATCTGGTCTCCCACTGCAGCATAAAATTTGCATTTCTCTAACATTGCTTTCTTAAAATAGGATATGTTAAAAGAGCTTGTCTTCAGAAAGAGATACTCTCTTTTTATAAAAATCCATATATATTTCTAATTGTAATTTGAGAAAAGAATGCTATCCTTTTATAATGTCTGTTAAGGAAAACATCACTGAATAGAATAGAAGACTCTTACACTTTTCAGCAGGCAATAATTCTGCTTGCAATATTGCCACAGCCCCCGAAAGAATCAGCAACACAGGCACCATGGTGATCATAGCCTACAAAAAACAAGGGAAATGAAAATCTAAATCATCCCGTTGCCATTTTTTTTTTTTTTTTTTACAAAAACAGACAGCTACTTTCTAATGTAAGACATGGTCATTTGGCTATTTAACAAACACTGATGACATATCTGTTATGTGCTGGAAATACAGACATGACCAAATCTTAGCCTGTCCCTTCAAAGGGACATCCATAATCTGAGAGGCAGAAGGAAATGTGAAATCAGTCATTGTAAATCAGTCAAAAATCCTCCCCGGTAAAGGTATGTATGGGGCCCAGTACGAGCAAAGAGACTCCTGATTTGACATCTCAAGGATGAAGTAGAGTTCTGGACACACACACAAGGGGAAAGAACATTCCGGGTGGAGCACAGAGCCTGTGCGAAGCTGGAAGAGAGGGAAACAGCAGGGCAGGGCTGCTCAAGCCAGCCGGAGACCAGAGTAGATCTCTCTGCACAGCGAAAATTCCAGGCACAGTTCATAAAAGAAAGAAGCAACAGTACCATTTTCATTAATGAGTAATTTAAATAGGAACCAACATGGCAAGAAACTTGAATCCAAAACAATTTGTAATGTGGGGGAGAGAAACATTGTATCATGAACACAGAATAAACTTGTGCTACTTTGAGCTTTGGAGAGGCTGATTTTTTTTTTTCTCTTTTTCTTTTTTTTTTTCAATGAACCCAAATGGGAGCAAGTCATAAAAGAATGGAAGAACATAGACCTAGAGAAAAAAAAGACAACATTTCTACCTACTTGAAACAACTGGGCAATGAGAATGAATCGAGAGTAGGGAACGTCGTCATAACCCAGTGTGAACAGGCAGAAAAGTCTCAGCCTCATGTTCTACATGTCAGAGAAGAAAATTGGGGATCGCGTGCTGGGAATTGTGGATGAGGAGCCTTGAGTTTTTCCTCTGCAAATTTTGAAAGGCATATTTCGTAGGAACAGAACTTTAAAGGACAAATAGCACACACGGTTTCCACCTGCCGAGTGCTGTCCTCAATTTAACAAAGAAGTTCTTCCTGCTGTCTCTCCAGGCACTCTCTCCTCCAGCGATTTGGTGCCAGGCATGTGCAGTTATTATCCATTATGGAAATTCCTTCCATGGATAGTATTCCTACTACCCACAAAGGAAAGGACTCTGAAAGGTTAAACGATTCGCCAAAAATCAAACAGCTGCTAAGTAATGCAACTTGGACCCGATCTGAGATCTTCCAGCAGCACAACCTAAGCTCTGTCAACTCTGTGGCACTAATTACGATGAATTATAATGTTCAGTTTAAAGATTTACTTAAATGGCTTGATATATTTCAAATGTAATTCCAGTAGAACCACAGGAGAGAGCTTAGCTAAATGGAGACCTTCAGGAAATAGCACGAACTCTTAATTTCATTATTCCTTCTTAACTTACTACTTAACTTACTACTATTGCTGCTTAACTGACTAATGAAATTGATAAAAATGCCACAATAGCAGGGAAGGAGCAGCATGTAAATCATTCAATTCCCTTTTCAGGTACACTTAAGAATTGCTAATCAGGATTATGCCAGTTTTGATAAACAATAATCCTGTTTCTTTTTCTCTGACAATTCCACGCGACATAAAAAAAAAAAAAAAGAATGTTTGAAAACAATGATGATGACGACAAAAGCAGGTACTCTAATTTTTCATAAAGTTTCAGCAAGTGAGAATTTTAACATATTAAAGGGAAGCATTAGTAATTTGCTAAGCCTGAGAAGCAAAGATTAAAAAATCCTTAACAACAACAGCAATAACAAATACAGCTTCCTCTTCAAGTTATAAAGGTGATGTCTTAAAATATCAGCATTTCCTGAAATGATATTTAATATGCTCTAACTCTGTGCTAATTTTTAATAGTAAGAATTCTAGGTCAAAAAAGGACTTTTGCTGACTGGCAAAGTAAGAAGTATGTTATAACCATACTTGTAAAAATAATAAACATCTATCCTTTGCAATTAAAATGTTGAAGTAAATAATGAAATCGTTCAGTGGGAGATAATTGAATATTTTATATAAGTAAGCACTCTCTCTTGGAATTTGCCATGCATTTTGACTTTATCACTGCTGAAAATAGAATTTTTTTCAAATATGATCATTCAAAAATTTTTTGATTATAAAGTTTTTGCCATAAATAGACACTTTTATCACATCTTATTGTTATATTTTCTATTTAAAAAGAGACACTTTTAAAAAAATAACTTGTCCCATAGACAGCACAAAATACTCAAATAGGAGTCTAAATATTACCAAGAATAACAATTTTTTTGTGAGCCAGATAAATTTCACACAAGGCTGAGTAGTATTGGAGCTTCAGCATTTGATCTCATGTTTTCTATAATTCTGCTCACTCTCTGCTCTGTTCGCTTTAGCCTTGTCCCATGGCCCTTTAATATTTCTGGTCCCTACCAAAAATTTTTAAAAAAGACTCAAATGTCTTTGGACTTTCTCTTTAATTCAACGATACACTATTATATAGATGTCAACTAGGCCATATTTCATTGTGCAAGAATAAAGCTATTTCATTAGCTGGAAGTATATATATATATATATATATATATATCTCAAAATAACAATATGCTCAACTCATTCTTCTCATGGTTACCAATTAAAATTCAAGCAAAAAACCATTAAATTGTTAAAATAAGACTAAATTTAAGCAAAATGAGGCAACCACGAGTTGCCTACCTACAATCATAAGGAACCACATGCTCAACCGCTAAGAGAAATCATGACATACTTGTTGATGTTGGGTTTCATTGAGTCAATCTAAAATTCCTCGGGGGCTCTCTGAGGATCTAGCTTTCAGCAGGTGTGATATTCCTTAAAATTTGGGAGAAAACATGAGCACAGTCTCTTTCACTACAGATGTCTCTAGAAAGTTAGTTGGGTAAAGTTTTGACAATTGGTGATGGGTTTCCCCTGTGTTCTTGAGAATTGTTCAAATTCTATTGAAGTACAGACTTACAAATATTTCCCCCCTTTGTTTTTCCTTTGCAACATAATTCTCTGCCTGGGGAATTTGGTTTTACAATCAAAGTTGTGCTTGCAGCTCTGTTTCTAGAAAATTTTTGAGTCAGCAGTGGTGAGACCTAATTCCAGACTCAACCTCAGTAGCAGAAATTGAAAAGCAACTGAAAGGATTCATGCTCTGTTAGACTCTTAAGTGGAAAGAGTGTATTTCCTCTTTTACCTTGTACAGCATAATCAGCAATAAAACCTCTCTCTTTGAGGGATGAAGAATAATAAATAAACCAAGGTGTGCTCTACAAAGGACATAGTTAGCTAGGTGGATTGCATGACCCACCAATGAGAAACCATGCACACTCCTAAAAATATAAATGAGTCTTATCATACATGCACTTTTTATTGCTATGTTGGACTTCTCATCACATTTCTGAAAATATAACTCATGGGTTCAGACTGTGGCCACAGACATAAAACAAGCTGCCAGTCCAGATGGAAATGGTGCTGTACCCCCCACCCCCAGTATCTGGCAAATGAATTTGCTACAAACACCCCAATGGTTAAATGGCTTCCAGCCAATCGCATATGTTGTGATTTGTCACAACACCTGCATCCTCGCGCCTCCGTTCCTGGGCATACCTGTCTACAGACGACCGTCTTGTTTGATCAGTGAGGACCACGTCCGTCGTGTCTGTGCTCCTGGTGCAGCCCCAGCTCCAGGCACGGTGCCAGGCACAGGATGGATGCTCAAGGCGCCAGGTCCTGTGTGGAACAGAGGAGAGTGAATATGCAACCCTCCCAGGCCAAGCCCTGTGCGCTGAGATCTACTAAAGAGACGCGTTAGGTCAGGAGCACGACAGGCCTGGGAGCGTGAAACGGGCCCTGTCCCTTTTGCTGTCTTGCCTATAACCCCCCCCCCCGCCCCCCGCAGCACTGCAAGTAATACATGCAAATGAGGTGGTTAGATTTCCAAAACTTTATTGTATTTTGAGATGCTAACTTTTAACACATAGCTACAGAGACTCGTTTCCTTTTCAGTCATTCTCAAAGGGGACATATTCGCACGAAATAGAAATTCTGCCAGGGAATGGCATGTTCAGTATGGTAAGTCATCAAATCAAGTATTAAATACGCTATTATTCAACATGGTTATAAAAGCATAGTCGCTATAAAAGCATAGCGACTATAAAAGCATAGTCGCTTTTCATACGTTTTATTCATTTTAGGCTCATAGTGTATTTAAATATTCTGATTTTTCTTTCTTGCTCTCTCTTCTTTATCCTTTCTTTTTTTTTTTTGTTCCATTCCATGTATTTCTTCTGTCTACATGGAAACAGGTTTATCTTGCTTTGGGTAAATAATTAAATTAGTGAACATAAAACCAAGTGATAAATGTTTCAGCAAAGTTTTGTACATTTTATATAAAATGTAACGCTCTTAGAAATCCAAGAAGCTTCAGCAGAAGCAAAAAGCAGAAAGCCTTTGGTTAGATACAATGCTATCCTCTCCTGTTTGTTGTTTCTTAATTTGTGGCTTTTTAAATTAACTCTGAAACTTCCTCACCAAGACATTTGTATTATGCCCTGTACCCTATTGTCTACACTCATATATTTTCTAAAAAATCTTGAGGATGTAATAAACGTCCTCATTTTAATCCCATAAAGTAGCTGGAGCCGCAGAAAACAATTGTCCTGTATTTATGTAAACATTAACAAAACTGTAGGTGTTATTTCAACACGACTCACCTTGCCATGGATTTGCACATCTGAGTTACTTACACAAGACCAGAATGTTATACCCAGAATCAATATGACCCGCCTGATACAAGTTTAATAGCACAGTTATTAGTTCCATCCCTGGTAATAAACAGAGTTACAAGGGGGTTTGTTCCCCCTTTTTCATGACTTAAAAGTTTGCCATGTATTTATAAATCATTGCTTCTTGCTTCTCCTACCTGCATTCTCCCCGGCGTAATGAAATTATTAGGAGGTGGCACACGGGGTATTATTAGAGCCTATGTCGTAGGAAAAAAAAAAGGTATTTATTTGCTTACTGTGTGGGTGGTGAGTCGAGCGTTCGATTCCAACCTACCCAGCAGCACGGAGCCCACGAGGTCAGAAGCACGAGCAGGGCCTTGGGCTGAGCCTTATCTCCGGGGGACACTTTTTGACTTAGAGGCGGTTCTTCACTCTTTCATCATCACGACTGTGATAGTTGAAAACTCTCAGGCAGTTTCCTTTCTGAGGGACGGGCAGTGCAACTTCTCTAGCACATATGCAGGAGCATTTGCAAGAGAGCAATTAGGACGAGCCGGAGTGGACCTCCTCCCAACCACCAAGCTGCTGTCACACCAGAGAATCTCTGCGCTCCAGATAGCTGCGCTATCTGATAACTGTCTTGCCTGCGTTTTCGCTCTCCTGCAGCGCCGGGTTGCTCTCTGCTCGGCGGCTGAAATGAACTTTTACTCGTGGTCGCAAGGTAGCCACGTTTGCTGAGGGTGCTCTAAAGCATTGCAATTTCTTTTCCTTCGTGTGCTTCATTCTGCTGGAATTGTCACTGCGCCTCTAGCCGCTGTGCGACAACAGCACAAGATGTGACGGGAATACCCTCTCCCTGCACGGGGCCTTGGCAGCAATTCTTGGTCATTAAGGGATGCCCTTGGCCCGTCCCTGCTTTGTGAGCAGGTCCTGCATCTGCAAGTAACTATGTGTGTGGGGGGAGGCGGGGGGGAGTGATTCTGGGTGGGATAAATTGCTGGTGTCTGTCACTTGGGCTCAGCCTAGGCAAACCGTGGCAGTGGCAGTGGCGGTCTGTGGGCCCCACCACCCCAAGACCTCTTCCCTGAAGTCACCACCGGGTTCCCAGTGGAGCCCCGCAGCTGTCCTCAGTAGGCTTCTATTTGAAGCAAACCTTCATGGCTTCTCCTGCCCTTGTTTCTTGTCTGTTTCACTCTGGGGAATTTCAAGGTAACCGCCCAGCAAAAGCTGACTTTCAGGGTGTAAATAGATAAGAATGGTGCCTATTGCATGAAGCAGACAATAGTAGCTGCCTCTTAAAGGAGACCTTCTGGCTTAGCCCGAGGGATCAGGGATGCTGGGTTACCCGTCCCCTCAGGCCTGTGCAGCAGACTCCAGGAGCTGGGGACTGAGGTCCCCTCAGAGCAGGCTGAGCCGAGGTTAGACCAGCGGTTCTGTTTGTGAGATGAGAAATGATGCCCTCCCTGCAGGAAACTTCCCCAGCGCTTGGTGTCTGTGCTTCCGAGCTGCATGGTCTGTGTGCCTGGGGTTCCCAAGGTAACCGTTTCACAAAGTGAAACCGGATCAGTCGTTGTCAGATGACTTGAAAAATATGATTTTCCTTGGGGGAAGGGGAAGTAAAATCAAGAACAGAGAGAGATCCATTTATTTGCTAAGAGGTACCCAGAAAAGTTTAGCTGTACTACCGGCCATTTGGCCTGCTCTTTAAAAGTCCTACACATCTAATTTTAGGTATAGCCTATCTGTCACTAAAGAAACCTTAAAAAAATACTTATTCATCATTGTGAGGGGAGTGATTTCTGGCTTGAAAGGCTGCTTTAATGTCTTCTATATTTCTTACATCCATTTACTCAATAAATATGTATCGAATGCACTTACCTGCAAAGCCAGGCACTGTGAAGGGTTTAACCCTTTGCGCTCGGGTGTCGAGTGTGACTCGACACAGCATCAGCAGCAGCTCACACCATGAAAAATTATAGAGATTAAAATTACTCTTTGAATGTATCAATAATTGGAAATATTTAAAAAATTCCAAATAAATAAGTTTGTATGAAAAGAAACTCCAGTATTTATTATTCTAGAGTATTTAAAAAATTAAATCCCGAGTAGAATAAAGGAATCGAGAAAAAAGCAAGTGAGTGCAAAGGGTTTAAAAAAAATGAGTCCTGGGTATGTGATCTCTAATCAACTACGCCAATAGAAACAAGCAAGCAAGCAAACGTGCTCATATTTTGTTTTCATGTTTTTGCATAAGCCCAACAGAAAACCAGAGAGGCAGGGATTTTTACTGTTTATTTTTTTTATTTTTATTTTTGTACTGTTTATTTTTGATGGCAATGATTTCATTCGTCAGAATAAAATATAAACGCCCAAAAGACAGTATAATGGAACATGCTGGAAGAATTCACAAAAGTGTTGTTTTTTTTTTAAAGTGAAATCAAGTTTGCCCATATCCCTTAAGAAGCAAAACAATGTGGGTTTAGCCATGCACAGCTTGGGTGGAAACATGAATAGTAATAACATGGAAATCAGGATTCAGTGGGTCCACCTTGAACTCTGGTTCAAGAAGCTTAGTAAAGTTATCAATTTCTAGGAATCCATTCTATGGAAATAATGTGAAATGTAGCCTAAGATTTATATAAAAGAGGGAGAGATTGAAATTTATTGTACCTTCCCTTGTAATAGTAAAAGTAATATAGGAATGCTTAAGAGAAATATATACCTGCTCAAGATTGACATATATGAATATTCAAGAGGGGTGTTTATCAATAGCTTTTAACAATACAGGGTATTATGGAAAGAAATGTTAAGTAAAAACAGGAAAGTATACACATACACGCACATAATTTTTTTAATAATCTCGTTTTGGGTCAGAAGCTCAGATTGTTAGGAGTGGTTATCTCTAAGTGGTGGGTGTATCAGTCAGCTATTGCTACAGCACAAACAACCACAAACACCTCAGTGGTACACACTGATAGGCATTTATTTCCCGCCTATGAGTCAGCAAGGATGCCTGATCTTGGTCTGGGCTCCATATCACAAAGTGGATTCAGGTTCGTTGCAAGCGCCTGCCATTAATTTGGAAACTACGGCTAATATTTTCATGGCGATAGCAAAAGTGCAAGAGATCAAGACCCATGGCACGAGCAGCACATTTCCAGTTTCTGTTCATGTCACCACCCATGACATCCCAAGAGTCTGAGCAAATTGCTAGGCTCAGAGTCAGACGGACCACGCCCGAAGTTCGCCCCACACACCGAGATAAGGATGTGATATCAACACCTAGGTATAAAGAGTTGGGACCAACAGTTTATTCTACCACAGCGGGATCAAAGTTTCTTTTACTTTTATTCTATGCGTCTACGTAGACAAATGTTGTATTAGGTTATTAAGTATGAAATGTCCAATTCCCTTGAGTACTAAATTTGACAGTTGATATCTCTAACATTTCACTTCGGCCCTTCAAGTTTTATTTTTATTGTGAAGTTACATCCTCAGTCTTTCAAATGCATGGTTTGGCTTGTGATTATCTTTCACATTTTTTTTTTTTTTAGAGTAGTTTTTGTGAGACCATGGATGAGTCAAAAATTTGTGTTATTTTCAAATATGAGTTCCATCGTGGAACCAATGCAGCACGATAATTCGGATAGCTCGAATTATCAACAAAGTGTTTGGGAAGGATGTGACTGATGAATGCACAGTACACTGATGGTCTGAGAACTTCTGTTCTGGTGATGTTAATCTTGAAAATGAGCCACGTGGGCGACCTGAGACCATGGTGGATATTGATGAGCTGAGAGCTGTAGTGGAAGCGAATCCAACTCAACCTGCGCATGGATTGGCAGCAAGGTTTGAAGTTGCTATTAGAACAATATTGGGCCATTTGAAACAGATGGGCAAGGTAGAGAAGCTGGATAGATGGGTTCCACAGGAATCACACGAGCATAGGAAGGGAAATTGTCTTCAAGCTTGCCTTTCTTTGTTGTCACGACATAAAGGCCAACC